ATGCAAGAGTAGACATATAGTCTGTAATGTCCTGATTTAGCTGTTGTAGCGACAGCAAAATAATTTTTTCCATGAAATTCCACCCTTGGATCTTTGTTTTGTGAAATATGTTCATGAACCAAAGAAATAAGGGTAGGACAAAGGGATAAAGGAGGGGAAATTAGGAAAAAGAAAAAGAAAAATCAATAAAATAAACATTAAAAAAGTAAAACTAGAGAGCCCTCAGTAGAGGGACGTAGCTGCCCAATGTATGCATGTTTACCTGATTCTGTGTTTTACTGTGCACCTACTTGAGGATGAATTTGCCTTAAAATGATGCATAATGTAACAGGAGCTTAGTATCATGTAACACAGATGTTTTTCATGGAAGGGAAGCATTTTTCTGTAATTTACGTCTACAGCCAAGCACCTAAGATGTTTGACCTTGAGTTATGACCAAATGTCACATCACCAATATGGGTTCCTATCTGATTGTAATGAGAAACTATGTGTTTATCTTACAGCTTGTCCAAATTATAATGGATTTAAAAATGTGTGATGATTCAGTGTGACCTTGACCTTTGTCTGAAGGTCAAATGTTACATCACCAGTTTATTGGCCTCGAATGTCTTCCTAAGTTAGTGTACTTAACTTATGTCTTTTTGTGCATTTCCAGTCATACAGAGCTTTTTAGGGACATGTGACCTTTGACCTCTGTAGCAGTCACCAATGCATGTACTGACCCCAAAATCTAATCAGTCCAAGAAGGGACCATACTGAGGTCATGTATGAAGTTTCAAACTCGTCTCCTGTAAAGCGCTCAACTGGTAAAAGAAAAAAAAACAAACACACGGGCACGACACAGCTGCAAAAAAGGAGTAATTTGTCTAACGTCGACTAAGCCAGAATCCAAAAAAGTAGAAATATAGAATATAGACACCCAGAGACAACGGGTTTAACACACTATGACGTAGATATGTCTGTACAGTAAGCTGACCTCCAGTGTTTGATTATCCTGACGACGACCGACGTATTTTTCCGCTGCACGTTGACTGGTGGTTGTATTGATGTTTTCCCCGTGCAGCGACTGGAGGCCCTGGAGGCTTGTTGTTCTGAACTGTTGCACTGCGACACTTTAACCTCTCGGGATCAATGGACCCAGCGCCGTGAGCTCTGCTGGGGCTCTTCAGCGGCGACGTCCGTCTGGTTAAAGCTAATTGATTAACGTTGGACGTGAGCCAGCTCAGTCACTATCAGATGAGTCGTTCCTTCGAGTGTGTGAAAAGGATTTCGAGAAGTCACAGTGTGTCTGGGTGCTGAAGGGTGAAAGTATTACTGCAAAAAAAACAAAAACAAAACAGCAACACGAGGCTCTTTTGGTTGGTGCACTATCATTTAATGAGTGCTGCACAGTCAAGCTGTCTGACCTTAAAAACACCAACGAAAAAATGCTGGGATCATCATCTTCTTGCTTAGTTTGTAATTATTTGTGCCTTTTTCAGCTGTAATCACTGGTGGATAAATGAAAGGTTACTAACATGATCTGAACAGTACAGCTGAATGGATCTGTCAGTTGTTATTAACTTAACTTGATGATTTAATCCATTAATTGTAAAGCACAAGTGAACAGAGCGCATCACAAGTTACCAAAATCCAAAAATCACGTCCTAAAATTTGCTTCTTTTGTCTCATTAGCAGTTGTGAAACCACGGATGATCAGCTTTTAAAGAAGCAGGATATCTTGATGTCTTTGGCGATCAGACATTTTACTTTGATCAGTTTGTTGTCAGTATAAATCATGGACGGAAGCCAGAGACTTCGAGAAGTTTATTATCGCTAAATTGGATAAGATTGGTTTGTGCTTTTCTGTAAAATTTGACAGTGCTGGATCTGTGTACAACGACCTTCACAGGTACACAAGCCTTGAAACAAACACTGGACTGTTTTGTTGCAGTTCAGTTCAGCTCAGTTCAGTTCAAACAGCTTCGTTGGCATTTATGGCCACAAACAATCTCCCTTCAAGACTAAATGCTGCCCAAGCAATAAAACACAATTTGTCCTTGCAGCTAGATATGTCCTGTTTTCTTCTCCGAGGAGAAATGTTCATTTTGAAGTTCTTGAAATCTAAAATTACAAGAGTTTGTTAAAAAAGAATGACCCTCATGTTAGTGTATGTTTTACATTATAGGACGAGGTGCATCTCCCCGTTGAATAGTGACGACACATTCTGTTTTCCTTTCTTCTGTGTCCTCCTTTTTCCATCACCGGTTTGTAGTCACCAAACAGTTTGACCAATTGATTAAAGAGTTATATATATATATATATTCATGTATATTCATATATTCAAACCAACAAAAGAAGCAAATCCTCACCCCCAAGAAAGAAGAGACGTTTTTGCTTTAAAATGAAATCATTTATAGAACCAGCAGCTGATTAATTTTCTTTCAATCAACTAATTGGATCACCTCTGCACGCTGTGTTATTGATTGCAAAAAATAATTAATAGAGCCGTTTGTTTTGATTTGAATGGGCTCATTCCTCTAAGATAACACATGCACATACATCCGCCAAGAAAAGACGGCGTCTCCATGCATGAATCTGTGTTTCAGAGTAGTAACAGTGGGGGATTAGACTCTTGTAGGACCAACGGTTAGTTCTGGTACCGTTTGGAGACCGCTCTGTTCTGATCTGTCCACACAACAGTGACAAATTGTTGATGAGAAGCTGAATCCATCCTCTGACTCCTCTCCTCTATGTCTGCACTGACATGTTCTATACCTACTTTCTTAAAGAAACACTCCGTCTGTAAAGTGTGCGTCATGTTCCTGCCAGCAGGGGATATCAGTGTTGCACCAGAGGAGCAGGACCCGCCCAAATAATTCACATAACCTGAAAATAGACTTGTGGTGCTTGTTAAAACATACCCAGTCATCAGATTTGGTGACTTGTTTATGCCAGTTGGCCTGATGAATTGGCCAAGCAACGAATGCGTACCCAGTGTGTTTAATGTTTGCATTTCAGATTATTCTGTTCTTTCACTTCCCGTTCTTTTGCATTCTCTTTGCATTGAACAATTTGTTTTCTTTGCTCTCCAGACAGAGTGAGTCAATATTCAAAAATAACCTGAACAATCTGGGATTCCTCTTTGACCTTTTTGGGTTTAGTGTCTGGTTTTCTACGCAGTTTGCTGCAGTTTATCACTGGACTCCCTTTAATTATGCTCGGCTGGTACTTAGTCAGCAGAGAACACTAAAGTACATCCAGAGCAACTGGTTTGTTCGCTCTAGCATGCAATATAATGAGACCATGTGGGATGTTTTTTTTGTATAAAAATAGTTAAATTTCTATGGAAATTCTCTTGTGTCATGTTCTTAATTCATTGTTGACTAACTGCTCATGAGTTGATGTGTCCTCAGAGGTATGATGGACATTTTGTGGTTGGTTAATTAAAGAAGAATCAGACGGGATGAAAGTTAGTATCATCAATAAATTGTGCTGCTGAGTGAGAGCAGTGTGTGGGATGAGCTTGCGTTCCTGAGATCAAAGTGTTACCTTCCAACGCACCTGCATGTGGGACAGTGAGATGTGTGAATATGTTCTTTAAAAATTGTTAAGAAATTGTGTGCACAGTATATTACTGGAGTTAAAAATGCACCGTTGTGGATTCAAAATCTCCATCTTTTAGAGATCTATCCAGCTGGTGTACCTTCACTTAACTAAACAAGTAGCACAGAGACAAGATATAAATCAAGACGGAAAAAAAGAATCGAATCATAGTATTCCCGTTTCCTTATAGAACTAGTTTCTATGCAGAGAGTAATCCAGTTAAGTGGGAGTGGATGTACAGAGGGAAAACAGATGCATTTGGATAATTACTACAAACATTGTTTGTGGTCTGCCAATAAGATTAAAGCTTTCAAGAAATAGGAAACTCTCGAGGGGCACGTACATCTGTGAATGTGGGCTCCTGTGTGTAGGAAAGAAGTGAGTGTGTTCAGCCTGAAAAGACAGCAGGAGTGATTTGGTTAATATGGAACAGAAAATGTTTCTCTGCCCAGATATAAAGTATAAAAATGTACAAAGCTTGAGGGGAAATCTGTGATCTCAGGATGCTCATTTTACTGTCATGTTTTTGGATGGAGGAACTGAGGTCTATAAAACATCTGTAATGAGACTCTCATATAGACACAAAGGCCTGGATGTTAAGACTATTTCTGGTGATGACCAACATGTTGTGTATAATATTAAAGATGTCAGGTTGGATTCTTGTTCGCTTCTGCTATGATTTGCCAGTTGCTGATTTTATTGTACATTTTGCGAGTTGGAAAGTCACTCGCTGTCCCTCCTGAGTTTGTAGTCACTGGTTTTGTTGCATCATCTGTCTTGTTTACCAGCTCTGCCTCGGTGCGTGAGTCCCTCGGGGCCAACAGGACAGATAGTATCTTGCCCTTGCAGCTGGTCAATAACTTCTGCTCCTTCAACTATCATGTATATGAGTATAATATAGTCTTCTCTCGGAGGATTATTAGGATATTTATGGCTTTTTTTAACCATCCTGTTTCAATTACTGTGACTTTGACCAGCTGTTGCTTTGAACTCTTCCAGGAATCTCAGGAATACCAGCTGATAAACTGTTTGTTTAAAACCCTGCTGCAGTTTATGCAGTTGAACCATTCTTAATGGACTGTTTAGCTTTGTTATTTTCCAATAATATCACTCCAGCTGTCTTGGAGGATAATATACACTTCGGGGACAGTTTGGTTCAACTCTATCCATGCTGTGCCTTTTGCACCAGTGACACTGTTGTATAAATGTAATAATTTGTCTCCTGCGTCCACTCCTTATCTCCAGGACTCACTGAGGTTAAAGAGCAGCGTTTAAGCCCAGCCTCCTCCAGCCTCACTCCCTCCTCTGATTGGCCCCTGCGTTCCCTCTACTCCGCCGTACAGCCCTCCCCCTTCACCCCGTGGCTTCCTGTCAGTCTGTTTGGATTATTGTAACAGCTCAGGCCTCTCACATGCGTTGCCCTCACTTGCCCACTGCACACACTCCAGTGGTATCAGAGATGAGAAGGATTAGATGACAGAGAGCCGCGTTCGTTTTCCTCCCCAGGAGAAGAGAGAGCAGCCATGGAGTTAAAGTAAGTGGGATGTTTTGCAATTTAAAGATGGAAAGAAAGACTGGAAAGAGTGGGTTCAGTAGAAAATGGAAAAAATGTCATTAAGGGAAGGAGAACGCAGAACACTGTTGCTTTGAGAGAGTCCTCGTGCAGAATACAGTCTTGAAAACAAATGTCAGTCTGCTGGGCTTCTGCAACAGGAAATCATTATTAAAAAAAAAAAAAAGCTTCTGTAATTCTAGGTTGTTACCCTGGACGTCGGGTAAATTACTGCTAGAAATACAGGTTTTGTTCACGTGGTCTCAGTTGTTCACATAGCGAGACACATTCTGTTTACTTTCAGAAGATGTGCCTCAACAGCGTATCCGTGCACTTTCATTTCCTTTTCTTGTTTGTGAAGCTCCTTGTCTGCTGCACATCTGTCTTGAAAAGCAGCAGGTGCACCGTGCAGCGTGTTTATTCTCTGTGTGTTGAAGATAAAGTCCAGTGTGTGACTTGAATGCATGATAAAAACGACAATAATACCTCGCAGCGTTGTTTAGCTGTCTGATGCATTCTGATGCATCTCACTAATTAACATGTTTGTCCAGTAAATTTCTACGACTTCTTGTTTTTGGAGCAGTAACTTTCTAGAGTCTCTGGTGGTTGCCTGGCAACTGCTGCCAGCCCAGAGATAATTCGGCACGTAACCCTCTGTAAAATAGTGAATTGTTGTTTTTATACTTTGATTTTCTAATGAATGAAACAAGTGAAACAAAACAGTGAACTTTACTGCTGGTAGGATGCTCATTAGACTTACTTTCAGTCTTCTTGCCAAACTAATGCTGAAGCTTTACATTGAATTGACGGATATGGAGAGTGGTATTGGTCATGTGATCCAGCTTTCTATCAGAAAGCGAATATTTATATTTTATTTATGAAATGACAGATTACATTACACATACTTTTCCCAATAAAATAAAATACTAAATACAGTCTGTACAATAGGGCTGCAGTAAATTATTATTTTCTTGTTGCTTAATCTGTTATTTTCGCAATTAGTTGATTAGTTGTTTGGTCAATTAAAGCCATAAGATATGATCAGTGTTTCTCAAAGCCCAGGATGACGTCCTCAAATGTCGAGTTTTGTCAGCAGCCCAGAAAAGATATTTACTTTATTTTATAGTGGTGTAAAGAAAAAACAGAAAATCTTAAATTTTAGGAAGGTGAAATCAGAGAATTTTTCTGTTTTTTTAAAATAAAATATATTCAAACAGATAAATCGATCATCAAAATAGTTTTTTCGCTGACAACTAATTAATTAATCTTTGCAGATTTACCAAACAAACCCTATTTTCATTGCATGCTGTCAGCTTCCTCAGGAGGCTCAAAGGTCAGCTAAATCAAAAACTAGACCCAGTGTACGTTGTCACTGTTTCACTACGGGAAAAAGCACTTTGTCTGGACATTGAGCCACATTGTTTCAGCTTCACTGAATTCTGGTTGACAGATGTGCAGCGTGGACGGTTTGCAGGAGCATTATGCTTGCACATCTGTAAGCCTTAATTTTAGGTCAGCCGTTAACATACATGCACTCGCAGACGGACACATTGTCTTATCTCGTGTCCCCAGACGGCAGGGGTGGCAGATATAAAGCCAAAGTGACGTCTGGTTTCCTCACTCAGCTCAGTCATTTTATTCAGGGGCGTGTAAATACAATCAGATAAACCTTCAAAAATTCACAGAAATCCTGACCAGGACTCGACTCTCGAGTTCTGCAGCTTACATCAAAACTCAAAATGTCTTAAAGCTGCCTGAGCAAAATCCCTCACTGACCAGGACATTTTCATCTGTGGTTTTCAAAACTGCTGCTCAGACATCTGAAAGAGGGGTTTGTGGGCAGGATGGAGATGGAGTCAGACGAGGGGATGTTCGGACTGAAGGCGTGCTCTGCCGCTGTAATCTCTCATCATCCTGTCCCCAGTGGACGCTTTAGATTAGCATGAGAGCGTCCTTATAATTCAGGGGTGGGGCTTCTGTCACCCACTCCAGCTTTAACGGCATGTAAAGCCCCTGATTCCACTGAAACAGAAGCTTAAATGTGTGGTTTTGTTTTTTGTTTTTTTTTGGCAATTTTAGGGAACTGCTGCTGAAAAATATGTTGCCAGACAAACTGTGATCATCAAATCACACATAAACACCATTTATAATAATAATATAGTGTACAATCATCAGTCAATGCAGTCAGTGCAGTATTCAGTTCATGTTGTCGGTCCTGATTATGGTGATTTTAGGCATAATGAACACATGAGAACAGTCGTCTGGAAGATAAGCAGGAGCCCATTTGTGGCTGTTTTGTAGCCAGCAGCAGTTATTATGGTTCATGTAGGGCATGATGAATGGGATGATGTGATCGTCCCAACTGCCATGTCTCTTTTGTGCTTGACCATGATGCCTCTGTTTAAATATCCCGTCTAGCTTGGAGCTGCCTTATTTTGTGTCCCCAGAATGGATGGATGTCAGATCTAGAGTCTTTCAAATCATGTACAGTGCGATCAGACAGTTAAGGAAGAAGATCAATACTCCTCTCATGACTGTGCATTAAAGGGAATTAACCATCAAGGTTCAAGATGGCGAGAAACTGCACGTAACCTGACCCTGAAAACATATTGTGCTCTTTGATTGAGATGGAGTTTATTCATTAGGAGGGATCAAAGTTACACAACTGGATAGATTGTCATAGGAGCTTTAAAAGTGATAGCAGGTGTACATTTGAACTTTAGACAGAGCGTTCAGTCTTTATGCTAAGCTCAGCAAACTGCTCTTGATTTAAACTTAATGCACACACATGACAGTGTTTCCCCAGTTCTCCAGTGTGCTGTAACTCAGATAGCACCTAACATGGGCTGCATTCACCCCAGCTCTTTAATCTGAAACTACATCCTGGGGTAAAGCGAGGTAATGTGGCTCAGCGTAACAAAGAAGCAGCAGCAAAGTTGATTCCATAACCTGCTGACATAACATTAAACCTGCATGTAACTGGACTCTTGGACTTCTGGCCTGACAAATTAATGAGTCTTATGTCATAAAACATCGCTCAATAATGTGCAGGTGAAGTGAGACAAACTGTGTAATCTGTCACCTCGTTCTTTCAGTGAACACGTGTATGTAAAACGAAGTCATTCCTCTCGTTGTTTACATGGTGCAAGTGGCCGTTCTGACTGGACAGTGTCGTCATTGTGCAGCGTAACACAGCATTTTGTGTGTTTAGAAATGGGGAGATGATAAAAACAGCTGAGGTCGGTTCTCTGGAAAGAGCTGTGGGAGGACGGCAGAGGGAAACCCAGAGTAACACACAGGCCACCATGTAAACCAAAACTAAAAATATACCTTAAAGAACTGCATGGACCATTTATTCTTCCTGGTGAGTGGAATCAGTTTAAAATGACATCTCAGTGCAGATTCTCATCCTGCAGCAGCTAAACTGTAACTTTGGTTGCTTTTATTGATTGGAGGATGGGTTTAGAGAGGAGCAGGTCTTGTGAAGTTGAAATAGAGTTGTGTCATTTTGCACTTTATGGCCGTCTTTGAAGTGTCTGTAGAGCGAGCTGATGATGTGGGTGTAAAAGGTGAAGCAGCTAAAACAGGTTCAGTGGCGTGTTCACTCCTCAGTGTGTGAATGTGTGTGTGTGCCTCGGAGCTGTTGGCGTCGCTTCATTGTGTTGGCTTCGTTCCAGGCCCTGCAGTGACATCATGGTCATGTAGGCTTCTTTGAAACAGAAAGAGCTGATATCCCAACCTGTTTTTGAGCATATTTACATCCATAATAGTAGGTATTAGCATGCAAATGAAAAATCGATAGCTTGTTGATCAGCTCTTTATAACTGAAGATGCCGGCCTCTTTTTTCTTATTATTTTTACACACACTATTGATGCATCCAAATATTCAACAACATTAATAATGTGAATCCTAATTAATGTTTAATGTTAGACAGTTTCAGAGTCTGTTTGATTTCAGGCTGTACCTTTCAGAAAATGTGTTGAAGTTGTGAGTTGTTTGTCGTGGAGGCTGGTGCCTGTAAGGATGGCAGCGTATGAAGAAAATTTGCATTATTCAAATCAGAGGCAGCTTCTATGACCACTATATAAAAGTCTCTGGAGGGATTTTCACCACAACCTGTGCCACTGAGCAATGTTATTGTTCTTTTGTTTACAAGGATACCTAACAAATTTAAAAAAAATAAAATAAAAAAAACTTGATTTGACTTACAAATATTCTGTGTAGCCAAAGCCTGAAGTAGCTTATGTGTGCCATAGAAGTCCGTTAATGTTAGTACCTGTTGAAATTGTGTGAAATGTTTCTTTATCACGAAGAAATATTTAAATCATCCCCACCTGCTATTAATGTTGAGTAGTACTTATTTATATAAAATAATCCCTCAATATCGCCCCAGTTTGATTCAATAAAAGCTATTTTAGAAAATGTATTGGCCTTTTTAAAGAGCCCCTATTTTGCAGATTTATAGGTTCATAATTTTATTTTTGGGGCTCTATTATAATGTGTTTACTCTCTTCAGTGGGCAAAAATTGTATATTTTTTCTTATATTGCACATTGCAGCACCTCTTCCCTTCCCGTGTATCTGAAACGCTCCGTTTTAACTCCTGTCTCCTAAAGACCCCGCCTCCTGGAAAGCCCAGTCTATTCTGATTGGTCAGCTGGTCCAATGAAAGCAAGGCATCGTTTGTTATGTACAATTAACCCAGATCTACGAGTAGAGTGGCGAACTTTAGGAAGCTGCTCCTTCTTTGAGAACGTTCCAAAAAATGCCACTCGCCAGGTGTTATGCAAATGTGTAACATGGTGATGTCAGTAAGAAACAGAAAAACAGTGATTTCTGTGGGATAGAATAGCACCTCGTTTCCACATACCTCTGAGTCCGTATATGAATCAGACAGACTCCATCATTCCTATAGGAACCTTTGTGATCTTTGATGAGTTTACAAAACACCTCCTTTCATTTTTTTCTGGTCTGGCCTCCAG